TATGTATGTATGTATGTATATATGTATGTATGTAAGTGTGTGGGTCTATTCACATATAGCATATTCTTGCATATGCATATATGATCCCTGGAAAGATACTGAAGAAATTGGGCAACTGTTGTCTCTGGGAGAGGAATTAGAGGAGAGGAGAGAGGCTAAGCTTTCACAATATCCACACACTGTTATCTGAAAAATTCTTTTACACGAATAGGAGTTACATATCCAAAATATTTGCCAAGATGCTAATAAACAACATTTTATCCTAGTCATAACAAGGAGTCAGCATTCTGAAACAGAATCCACTATGGAGTTCACATTATGTGAATGAGTTCCTCTAGTGTGTTTAAAAGATGAAATTCTTTAAAGAATAAAAGAAAAGGGCAGGGAGGGAGGGATTACTCATTTACATCAGGGTGTGTTGTTCTATTGGGTTGTCAGAAAAGTCATGACGCATGTTTGTGGCAGATGACACTAGTTCATTTTTGGAAGTACTAGAGTCATTCGCATCTATGTTATTGCTATGTCATTTGACAGCTGACGGTTCTAGCTTCATTCTAAAAAAAAATTGAGCGATTTGGTTGAGTTTTGGAGATTTTACAACAAGTCGAAGATGGAAGACCAAACTGTGTATTTTTGCCATATTTTACTGTTTTACTTCCATAAAGGGAAGAACGCGCGTCAAGCTTGTGAAAAGTTGCACAAAGTTTATGGTGACAATGCTCTCTCTACAAGAACGTCTGTGTCAACGATGGTTCACAAAATTCCGTGCTGGTGATTTTGATCTCAACGACGCTCCTCGGTCAGGAGGGCCCACAGAGGTTGATGACAACAAAATAAAAGGCATTGATCAAGTCAAACCCACAGTACATGACATGAGAGATTGCAGAAACATTGAACATCCATCATTCAAGCATTCACGACCACCTGAAGAAGTTGGGATACGTAAGCAAGCCTGATATTTGGGTTCCACATGAACTTAAAGAAGTTCATTTGACGGCGTGTATTAACATCTGCAATATGCTCATTAAACGTGAGGAAAACGATCCTTTTTTGAAACGAATGATAACTGGTAATGAGAAGTGGATTGTTTACAACAATGTGGTGTGCAAACGGTCTTGGTCCAGACATGATGATTCGCCTCAAACAACATCAAAAGCAGACACTCATCAGAGGAAGGTTATGCTTTCAGTGTGGTGGGATTTTAAAGGTGTTGTGTTTTTCGAGCTCCTACCAAGGAACTATACAATCAATTCGAATGTATACTGTCGGCAATTGGACAGTTTGAACGAATCCATCATCCAGAAACGTCCAGAGATTGTTAATTGTCAAGGAGTTGTGTCCCATCGCGACAACGTGAAACCACACACAAGTTTGATTACCTGTCAAAAATTATTGGAGCTTGGATGGGGTGTGTTACCACACCCACAATACTCGCCTGACCTTGCGCCATCAGACTTCCACTGGTTTCGCTCTTCAAAACTCCTTGCGTGGTGTAGCATTCAATTCAGATGAGGCTGTAAATCAGCACCTTGTTCTGTTTTTTGCAAATCAAGACAGGTCCTTCTACGACTGAGGAATTATGAAGCTCACTGAAAGATGGCAAAAGGTTATCGAACAAAACGGGCAATGTATTGATTGATCTTTGTTCTTTATATAAAATGACCTTTGCAAAACAGACAAAATACTTCATAACTTTTCCGACAACCCAATAATTCTTCCTTTGGTGCAGCCTGCACCATGCTGTGGTGCTATAAATGGTTTGGGATTTCAAGTGTTGCAAGAATTACTAAACTAAGAGGTGCTCTCATTATGTAATCTTTATCTGTGTGAGCTTGCCTTTATTGCTTGCTTGCTTTTTCTTAAAGTCGCACATGCTCATTTTAGAAACTCTGAAAGTACAAGTATAAAGAGGATGGAAATGAATTACCCAGAAACTTGCCGGCCAGAGATAACCACTATTAATACTTCGGCGTTTTTCTTCCAACTTTTCTTCTACTCTTTAAGTTTGTTTTGATTTTACATAGCTGAGATTAGATGTATTATTTTGTATCCTCGACAATTTTCCTTCTTCTTTTTTTTTTTTTAAAGAAATTTTACTGGGGAACAGTGTGTTTTTCCAGGACCCATCAGCTCCAAGTGAAGTGGTTGTTTCAATCTAGTTGTAGAGGGCGCAGTTCCTTGGCCCGTGTGGGAATCGAACCGGCAACCCTGGTGTTATGAGCCTGCCCACCTGAGCTAACCAGCCATCCCCAATTTTCCTTTATAATATTAAATCAAAGTTATTTATCTTGTAATTAAAAACTCTTGGTAAACACAGCTTATCATGGCTGAAGAGCATTCCATATCTGAGATGACTGTTCTCCTTTTAATCTGTTATGGTAGCAAATCGGATTGATTGGGATGTTTTATTGCTAAACTAACCTTATACTCCTAGAATAAAACCAATTTGGGAATGCTACATTCTTTTAATAAATGCTGAATTCAGTTTGTTAATAATTCGTTTCAGATATTTGCATCCATATTAGATTGGTCTGAGAATTTTGTCTAGTATGGTCTTTATCAGGGTTTGGTAACAAGATTATGACCACCTCTTAAAGTGAATTGGATACTGTACCCTCTTTTTCCTATTGTTTGGAACAGCTGATATAATAAGACTGGAGTCATTTCTTCCTTAAGCGTTTGGTAGAACCAGCCAGTGAAGTCATCTGGGCCTGAGTTTTCTTTGTGGGAAGGTTTTTAATTACAAACTCAATTTTTCAAAATAGTTATGGCAATATTCAAGTTTTCTATTTCTTCTTGTGTCAATTTCAATAAGTTGTTCTTTTCTAGCACTCTTTTTGTTTCCCTTTTCATCTACATTTTCACAATTTTTGGTATGGAATTTTTTCCAAATGATCTTGTACTATCTGTTTAATGACTGCAGGAACTGTAGTGTACCTCCTTTTTATTGCTGTTACTATTTGTGTTTCTGTCAGTTTGTTTCTCATGTTTTTGATCCATTTCATTAGAGGTTTAGCAAGTTTATTAGTCATTTCAAAGAACAAACATTTGGTTTTGATGTTCTCAAATCTTCTATTTCATTAATTTTTGCTCTTATCTTTATTGCTTCCTTCTTTTTATTCTCTTTAGGTTTCTGTTTTCTAATTTCTTGAGCTAAATGCTCAGCTTATTACTTTTTGGCCTTTCATCTTTTGTAATACATGAATTTAAATGCTGTAAAATTTTCTTTAAATATTGCAGCCTTCAAATTCAAATGATATCAGGACAAAATTGGTCCTAGGTGTTGATCTCACCTCTTTTGGTTCAATCTTCTCCCAGGCAGCAGCCATTATTTTCTATCTTGTGTTCTCTGATGACTTTAGGATGATGACTTGTATATTTTCAATCAGCTTTTTAAGTTACCTTCAGTGGGAGAATTTGTTCAAATTACTTAGTCTGTCTTTACCAAAAGGTGATGCCCTGCATAGTTTCCCAAGATAGGGATGCTACACAGATATTACATATATAGATATTATGAACATTTAATGACTATCATACACAAATCTTTATTGCATTTTAGGTTTCTTGATACTTCCAGGTACATTATATTAACCTTCATTATAGTCATTTGAATATGCCTATTTTCCTGTATTCTCCCCAGCAATGAGGACTCTTTGAAATACCTGGCTTGTTTGACAGGTGAGAAATATTACATTGTTGCTTTAAAATGTTTTTATCTTAAATCGTTGATAGGGATAAACATTTTTACAAACGCTTACTACTTATTTGAATTTTGTGGACCATTTAAGATACTCCAGATTATTTTTATTTCTTTGTATATTTGTATAAGATACTTATAACTGGCTACAGACTGTGGGGACACCAACCTTCTGCCTTTGAGAATTTGCTGATAAAGGCAAAAGCGCACTGCACCTTCCTGGTGAATTCTGCACAGGCCTCTCCAAAAGAGGCTGCCAGGGGCCCTGCCCTCAGAGCAGCAGCCTGGTCTTGCACAGAGGGTCAGTGGCATGACTAGAAAATTGCCATTCACTCATTCAACCTATACTCACCGAGCGCCTGCCTATAGTGGGTGATAAGTAAGTTAATTGAATTAGTGAAGGGCAAGCTGGTATAGATCAGGGACACCCTCACAGGCCTGACAATCTAGTGGGGCAAACAGACATCACACAATCATTGAGAAAAATATATAAACAGAAACATATGCAACGAATAAAAAGTAGTATGCTCTATGACAGAATACAGTGGGGAACTCAAATAAGGGATGCGTCAGGTGTAGGCGAGGGAGGACAGAGGGATCACAGACGGCCTCTTTGAAAATGTGACATATGAACTGAGACGAAGGATGAGAAACAGTTAACCAGAGTGGGGGAAAGAGTGTTCCACACAGAAGAAACGGCCTGTGGAAAGCCCTGAAGCCGGAATGAGCACGGAGAGCCGGGCACCATCATCTGTTTTCACAGGTCACCTGCCCCCGAAGTCAATGCGAGTATAGAGGAGAGGAATGGCGAAGACTCGGAAACTCTCAAGAGAGAATGAAAAGGAACGAACTGAAGTTTTAAAGAAGCTTACAGCACAGCATTAGGACCCACGACACTGACTCCTGCTGACAGTATGTAAATGGTCAGAATTTTCTAAAACTTGATGTCTGAACAGTGATACGGACACGGCTAGTTGCTTTATATACAAAACAGCCTTTGCCTCAGAAAGGACCTCCTATTTCTAAGCTGTTTCCAGGGCTGTTCCTAACTTAGGAAGACACCGTTTAACAGAAAAATATTAACCACAGAGAGCTGAACAGGGTGCAGACTCTCCACCAGAAAGCAGGAAATCAGTCATTCCACTCTGGGATACACTTTCGGCACAAAAGCTGAGTGACGTCTGCCTTGCAAAGTAGTCGCTTCAAACCTGCCCAGGGAAGCCAGACCAGTGTCCCCAAACACATGACTCCTAAGCACGTCTGTCACGGACAAAGCGGGCATGGAGCCGGCAGGCCGACGTACTGTTCTCGCGGACCAGGCAGAACTCCCAGGCGCTCTGGCTCTCCAAAGTGCTGTCCAGGTCCACGGCGACATTGGGCTCGCTCTGCTTCTCCAGGCGGTACTGAGGGCCTGGAAGATCAAAGGGGCAGGAGGAGGGGAGGAAGTCTGAAACAGTGAACTTAACATCGAAAAAAAAACACCACATATTGGCGAAAAGCTGGTAAAGCATTAGGAAAATGCTGAGGTCTGTCTCGAGAGTCCAGCTATCCAAGATGGAAAAGTCTGGGGGATTTTTCCCACAAGGTTTAAAACACTTGTCTGTTCTGTTATCAGGTCTGTCTTCGCTCAGTTCTCCCCCAAAAACAAGGTGAGCGCTGACGGCTTTTGAGTCAGACTGGCCTGGAGTCACAACGTGGCTCCACGGTTTCTCAGATATGAGAATCTGTTTCCGAATAAGGAACGTAGGAATACTTATAACCTTGAAGGATTATTGTGAACAGTAGAGGTGATATCCTCTAAGTATAAGGAAATAAGTACCCATTATTAATAATCATCATAATGAATAATCAATTATAAGAGGAATAAGGTGTGCTTAGAATTCTAATACGATGACAGCAAAAAAAAAATTTTTTTTTAAATCAGGGGAGGCGAAATAGTAAATCTCAGGTTTCTGGGTTACGGTGATAGAAGGCCTGTGGGTGCTGTCCATGTTTTTGTTGAAACATTTATGGAAACACAGGCACAGATTCAATAACCCTGGACACCAGGAACCCCAGCTATCCTGCGTCACACAGAGGGCTGAGCTTCATAAAACACTGGGGCATTTTATACATTTATTCATGTATTTCCTTGTCAAGTCAAATGACACTCTTGTTCTCAGATAACACCTAACGGGTCCAATGATCAGATTCAAAGGACTGCTACTGTTGTTAATGGTTACTGAAAAGATTAGAGGTGTAAGAAACTGTCTAATTTTTTTGACTATGTAAGGCGTGTTTGGTGAGACAGGAGAGGGTCTGAGGAAAGAATCAGGCCTCCCCAGGCTCGCTCTTAGGCGGAACATGTATTTTTAGATATATTTGTTCTTCAGCCGTTATCAACTTATATCCAGTACTTTTCTTCCTCCATCAGTCTGAGGCATTTCACTCATTGCAAGTCATTCTCCTCTCCCATAGGCTGTTCATTTGTAGCACTGCAGTTTCATGATATATTTGATCTCTTCTCTAATTGGTATTTCATCGGCTCGCCTGACAGTTCTCAGGGTTCTTACGTACATTCAGCCCCCTTTACAATACTTATCGCTTTTAAACCTTTACTAAGTAAACGATGCTCAACACACACACACGACTATGTATTTAAGCAGATACATGCTCCGAAGTCTACACAATTCTTAAAAGCTCTAATACACTGTATCTGCATAGAAGCCATTGTCGTTCAATGCTATACACAGTTAAATTTCATTTCAAAAATATCAAGCAAATAAAAGCATGAAAATGCAGGTGATTCTGAGTCTCCACAACCTGTTTGTTACCTGTCAGTGACCGCATTTGTCCAATTACCAGGCATGTTTACTGCCAATCACTGCATGCCTACACAGACACTGGTGGAAGTAACCACAGAAAAATCATGGCCAGCTGAACTTTAAGAAAACTTAGCTGGTGAGGGATTCCTGGGCACCTTTTCCTTTCCTCCCTCCCCCCTCCCTGACGTCCACCCACCTTTAGCAGCTGTGGGCACCTTCGGCCCACTGGAGTGAAGGGAGTTATCCTCGAACCTGGAGAGCTGCTTTCTAAGACACTGGCCTGCTGTACGAGCTCTAACTGACTCACCACCAGTAACTCCCGGCAACACTGTGTGTAACGCACTGACATCCACTTCTATGAATTTACAGTGAAATCTGGGCACAAAGTTGAGCTACAATAATCCATTTTTTTTTATGAGGGCCAAAACTTGGGAACAACCTAGATCTAACAAAATATTGTGAAATACCATGAAAATATTAAAAGTGATGCTGCAAAAATATTTACTTTTACAAAACATGTTTATAATATGCTATTTTATGAAGATAGCAAATTATAACACAATACATGCAGGATGACTGCAATGATGAAAAATATATGTAAAGTCATGGTGGGGGGTGGGGAGACGGGAAGGTTATTTACAAAATGTGAATAGTGGTTATACTGGATAGTGGGATATTGAGTGTTTTTATTTTTCCTTAGTGTTAGTCTGCATTTTTCACATTTCCTATAATAAATAAATGCTACTTTTATCATTTAAAACACATCATATATACTTATAAACCCTCCGATTTCTTACTATGCCATTTTTCTGAGGATACTGTAATTACCACACACTGTAGCATTTCCACCAGGTCTTTCATATACAATAATTTAATCAACACCAGACAGTACCTGTTTATGCAGATAAACTCATCTTAAGGAACTCTGCAGCCTGGCAAGTTTCCTGAGTGCAGTGTACAGGGCTCTGGGCTTCCCGGGCTGCCTGCCTGCCTGGCAGCTGGCCTGTAAGTAGCCACCCCTTTCCTGACCAGGGAGCCGACGCCTGGCTGCACCAGGCTGTACTTCAGGCTGGTCTCCTTTGAATACTTGTCTCTTCCAGTCACTGCGGCTGCCTGGGAAACACACCTGAGGGAAATCAGGGGAAGGAGGGAGTCCTAGAAAAGGTCCTTTCTCCCTGAACACAAGTCCCTGCACCCCTCTCAGAGCCATAAATGCCATCATTCAAGATGGACTTTCCTGTCTCTTGGGTCTTGCAGATACTTCTATTAAAATAGTTTGTTTCCTGAAAGTAGCTTAAGGATTTTCTTCTTGAAGCCTAAAATGATGATGATTCTCATTTACTGAATGACCATTACATGCCAAGCACTCTACATATGCTACCTTATTGAGTTGTCACAGCAGCTCTAAAAGGCAGATATTGTTATCCCCATTTGCCAGAGTGGGACCCTGGAGGCTGGCAGGGTGAAGTGACTCGCCCGAGATCACAAAGGTAGGAAGTAGAAACGGAGAAATGAAACCCAAGGGTCTTAGGCTTTTCGAAAGCCTGTGCGTTTTGAAACTTTCTTCCTCTTGCAAACTATAAATTACTGACCAATTATAAAGAGGCCATAGTTTATACCATAAGTATAGATTTTTGTAGATTTGTGGATTCACTGGGTTCTGAATCACTTAACTTGTGGTTTCTATAAATTCAAAATGAAAATCATCTGAAATAATTTAATGAAATCCACACACACTAGATAGCCCAAGCTACAGCTGTATCCGGGTCCTTATGAAAACAGGATCACCTGAGCTTCCCATCTGTCTAGGAAGGCTCTCTCCCTGTCTTACTTCAAGGTGTGCCTACGTATGCCCCATTTTGTCAGTAACTGAAATTCTGAGTGTCACCTGCTCTGGGGAGTCCCTGCTTTTCCATAAAAGCTAAAGCCCAACTTGGAACCCACTTCTGAACTTCGCAGAGGACTCATGGGTTTTACCTTTGGGGAAGGTAGGGTGGTTAAACTGTCCATAAGACTCGAGATCTAAACTTAAGAGGAAAACTGTCTCTTACAAATATCAATTTCTCTCCTAATTCTTGCCGGAACACTGGATAAGTTAGCATACACGGAAAGACTACTTCACACATTTTCCCCTGAAAAAGCCAGACTGATAACTTCAGGCCATACTGTGTAATGAGAGGCAGGGTATGGATGAGAAGCAATAGAGTGTGATGCTAACGGGCATGGGGCCAGGTTGTCTCGGTCCAGTCCTGGCTGAGCAACTTAGCCGTCTGACTTTGGGCCAAATTACTTAACCTCTCTCAGTTTCTTCATCTGTAGAATGGGGATAATAATAGCACCTACCTCATAGGCCTGTCTGAGTCAATGAGTGAACAGCTGTAAAGCAGTTAGAACAGTGTCTGATACATTAATCGTGTTATTTAAGTGTCAGCTATCACCGTTCGTCGTCATCAGACTGTAGCAATACTAAGAGAGCATAATATAGCATAACACAGCTTACTATGTGCCAGGTACTGTGCTAGGCCTTTTATATAGATCATCTCATTTACTCTCACCCTAGGACATAAAGAGTATGAATTCCCTTTTATGGAAGAAGAAACTGTGACTTACAGAGAGGCTAAGTGACTTGCTCGATGCCCCGCAGGAAGCAGCGGAACCAGGATTCGTACCCAGGGCTGCCCAGGCCTGCAATTTTCACATACGAACCACAGTACCTCACTCATAACAAGTTCTTCACCTTGATGGTCTGTTGACGATAATCAAGTTATGACAACCCAGACCTATTACCTATTAAACGAGTTCCTATCAAGTGCTCATTTAATTTTGGGGCAGCTGAATGGGAGGAAAGAAAACGTAGCAGCCAAAACCATTAAAAAAAAAAACAAGCTGTGAGGTCAGTTTCTATTAATATACTTCTGCCAAAGAAATTATTCTATAAAATATAAAGGCTCTTTCACGCTGAACACGACATAGTCCTCAAGGCAACATCTACCCTTTGGAAAGAGGTTTTAAAATGTCACAGCTGTGCATGAAGCCACAAGCCCTGCACTTCACAGTGGAGGGGAACACAGAAGGAAGATTCTGGGAAGCAGTTACTCTGCAGCGACAAGAAAATCTGTTTGGGCATTCCAATGATGTATTTATTGCAGTAATACCATGTCGCCAAATGGTCTAGGGACAAAATACTGCTCTGGCACTTTGGGAGGGTTCCAAGTTATAATACTCTGGCAGGGTTTTTATGGGATTTTGTAAACCTGAGGCAAACATCTCAGCACATACGCGCCAAAGAAAATCTGTAATTATCTGTTGGGTACATACGTGCTGGTCCCGCTTCCTCCATCCCTTTAATCCTTGACTGAAACATAGAAGGTTTCAGTATGCAGCTCCTCAAGGGCTGGGAGCCAGCTGAGAGCTGACATCCAACGGGAGGTAAGAGCAGAAGCCCAAAGACAGAAAGGCCACACCGTCGCCTCGATCGTTCTGCATCTTATTTCTAATAAGACCTGCGGGAGTAACTTCCTTCAGACCTCGGTAGCTGGCAAAGCTGTACGTCCTCGGAGCAACCGGCTTACTCTTCTGTATTTTTAGACAGTTTAACATAAATCTT